CTTCACTAAATATTACCCTGCTCACACTCCAAAGATCGTCAGGCCCCAAGTACCATTCGTCTCCATTCACTCCTATCTAATACGCTCACGCACGCTTGCTGGAAGTCCAAGCCCCTTGCCCACAAAACCTCCTTTACCCCCTCTCTCCAACCCTTTCGAGGATGACCCCTACCCCGCTTTCCTTCCCCTATAGATTTATATGCTTTCCATGTCATTCTACTTTGATCCATTCTCTCTAAATAACCAAACCCCCTCAACAACCCTCTTCTGCCCTCTGACTAATACTTTTATTAACTCACACCTTTTCCTAATTTCAACGTGCGAATTTTCTGCAAAATTATTGTAACACATTGCCCTTAACCTTTGATGTCGATAACCCCCTCAATCTGAGGTGTCTTCGACAATGTTGTGTCCATTTAGAACTTTAAAGAAATCAAAAACAGATCTCTTTGAACCTTTTTGATGACAGGGATCAGAGACTCTCACTGGTCCATGCAATAAAAAACAAAGAAATGGAGTACCCGGAAAAGGACTTGGTACTGAAGTCTTATGAGGAATTCTCTTCCAAACATTAGCAACCTCCAGCCTCTCTTACCCTCACTCAGTCTTCATCACTCTTCAGCTAATCTTCATCAAAGGTAATGTCATTTGTATCTTTTATCGCCATACTCATTGTTTTCTGTGTAGGAAATTTTATCTTCGATTAACAAAAATTCATTTTTTTAATACTTTTGGGTGGTCAGAGTGATTATTGAATTTGCCATTATTTCTATGAAAATAAAAATATGACATTCGCAGAATTCGTGTTTAGCACTCTCCTGGAACGGATTAATTACGAAACGGGTCCTTATATACATTTTTTTTTTCAACAAATCGCCCGTCCCCACCAAGGCAGGTGTGACTCCTATAAAAGAATGAAAATCCAAAAAGAAAATACTTTCATCATCTCAAACTTTGACCCACTCTACACATTATCACGTTTTTGCAGAGGTGCTCAGATCAACAGTTTGCGAACATACATTTAATGTACACAAACATTTCCCCAAATGCCAATATCCCAAACCCTCCTTTAAAGTGCAGGCATTGCACTCCTTCCAGACCAGTCCGACTAAGTATGAAAAAAACGTTTTCTGTATCTTCACTAAATTATTTAATCTCACAACTCGAACAGATCGTCATGTCCACAAGTACCATCTCTCCATTCCTCCTATCTAATACTGCGCTGCAGCTTGCTGGAAGTCAAAGCACCTTCCCACAACTCCTTTACCCTTCTCCAAACCTTGAGGATGAACCCCTACCCCGATTTCCTTCCCTATAGATAATCCTTTTCCATGGCATTCTACTTGCCCTTCTTCTTAAATACCATAACCACTCAACAACCCCTCTTCTGCCCTCTGGACAATACTTTTATAACTCCAAACTTCTAATTTCCACCTCCGAATTTTCGCATAATTTTACACCACACATTGGCCCTAACCCTTTGACTCGCAACCCCAATCCTGAGGTCTCGTTCGCAAATTTAAGGAAAAAAAAATTGATTTTATCTATGAAATGGTAGAGCATTTTTCACCCGATTGTAATGACACCATAAAACGAATTTGATGTAAAACTGATCGGAATGATGCTCTGCAAAGGTTAGCCAACCTCGCCTTTCAAATCACGATTTCCTCCACTTTGAGCCATATCGCTAATTCTATTGTTTCACAGGTCGCCAAACTCAAGCTATTTCTTTGGACCTATTTTTCCTATCGATTTAGTACAAGAAACTGCCCATTTACCGAATTCAACGAATGTCAGGTAATTGCATTTGGCCAATTTACCGAAGACTTAAAAATAGACGAACTTCAAAGTAAGGTCAGAATGAGCAATCATGGACTTCCTGGCTCAAAATAACAGTTTCATTTATCAGTCATGCCCAGGCACCCCTGATATTACTCTTGCTTTCTAATTAATGGTTATCAAAAAAAAATAGAAGACTTACTATTATGCACGTACTCGTGGCAATTACTGTAATAATTGTATAAATAACATCAACCCATTCATGACTGCATATTAGAATGGCTAGTTGGACATTTATTGGACAATGGCATCATTTGTTTACTTTTGAACATTGGCAAAAATCAAACATTTCCCCTACTTTGATCTCCATTTCTAGGTTCTTTTTATAGTAAAATCAATTAAAATCACCTCTATTTCTATAATATGTTTTCCATTCTATCAAATGAGACCAAGAAAACGAGAATACAACCATAATTACTATATGAAAATAGACCACAAAGTCGGCATTTTAATTAAAAAAAACGGTCGGAGTTTTTTTTTTCTCATTATGCACTGCGTGCTCCAGGACTTTTTTTATATGGTGCACACTGACCACACAGACCCATTCTCTCACATGTGGGCCTACCAGCTTTCTCCTGCTTGATTTGAAGCAGCTAGAATTTATGAGTATATATATGTCAAACACGGTACCTCGTAAGACGTATATATACAGCCGCGACAGTCAAAGGGTTAAACAGGACATCTCCACTGCCTCCAACCGTCTCCTCGCTGCTGCATTTACCAAGCTTCACACCCATATAAGAGTGTTGGTACTACTATACTTTCATATATTCCCTTCTTTGCCTCCATAGATAACGTTTTTTGACTCCACATATACCTCAACGCACCACTCACCTTTTTTCCCTCATCAATTCTATGATTAACCTCATCATTATTATTATTATTATTATTATTATTATTATTATTATTATTTATTATTATTATTATTATAATTATTAATTTAGGGAACTGGAGCACAGATCATTCCTTAGATCAAGAGCCCCTCACCAGCATCAAGGAACTTTGATGCTGGTGAGGGGCTCTTGATCTAGGGAATTGGATCTGTGCTCCAGTTCCCTAAATTAAGCATAATAATAATTGTAATAATAATAATAATGAGTGAGCTTCAGTCCCCTAAATTAACAATAATAACGAGGAGCTTCAGAACACCACCACTAGTTGGCGCAGCGAATGCCAAAACATCCCCTGAGCAGTGGAAGCATTTCTCTTGTGCCTTGCTTGCATTTTGTAGTTATTTTGCCAAATTTCTTTTTTCTAACCATGGGTCCTAAAAGAATAAGTGAAAGGACAGGCTGAGAGAAAATGATGATGATGTCTGGAATTAAGCAGAAATCATAGATAAACACAAGTGAGGTGGAGTGTCAGGTTGTGGTTTTGCGGCCATGATACCTTCGTTTTCTTATGCATCCTGTCTCCAGGATTTTTGATATGACACTTTATAAACCATTTATTTTCTTCCATTATGGTTTTATACATTTTCCTTATTTATAAAGCTAGAAGTGTTTCCTTATGAAATTGAACAGGTAGCTCTAAACATCGTTCAGAAGGGGAAGAATGGGTATATGGTCAGGAGTGCGGAGCTGCAATGGCCACCCTGCTGCATTACAAGCTTCACACCTTTTTATATTTTAGAGTACTAACTTTCATTTTTGTGTTTATTCTCTTATTATGTCTTAGATGAACGTGATAATACATAGCTGCACATCATGTTGTTCCTCATCAATTATGATGGACCCCATGGTTTAAGATTTTAATCCGTTATATAGTGTTATCTTATGCTAAATAATCGTTATGCGAACTAATTTTCCCATAAACTAAGGAATAAACTTAATCCGTGCAAGACGCCCAAATATGAAAAAAAAATGTTTTTTTACCTGAATTGAATTTTAATATCCATCCTAAAAAGCATGAAAAAATGAAAATATATAATTACTATTTATTGAAATTGGTGATGATTGAGGAGGGGGTAGGGGAGAGCACCACTTATTTGTTACTGTAAGGCAAAATCCCTTCCATTAGGAAATGTAGCACTAGTCCTTTTCGATTTTATTCTTCTTCTTTTAATGCATTTTCAGACCATGGGTCCTAAGAAGTAATGCAACAAGATCTGTCCATAGAAGTCTGTACCTCGTTTCTTCAAGAATTTAAAAGGCCATAAATTCATTGAAAATAGTAAGCACGGCTTGCACAGCTGTGTTAGGGTATTTTCATCTATAAAGGTTTGCGTTCAAACCTCTGCACATTTCCTAATATTTGAGTAGCACTATGGATTCCACAACCTGATAGCTATCTAGGTTAGCCCAAATCCTTTCTAAAATCTTTTTAATTTTCCATAAATCTCACCCTTTTTACCGGGTTGGCCTAGAAGCTTCTTGGGCATGGTCATTATTTTCCAAAACACCATCACTTTAAAGGGAAATGGAAATATGTCCGGTGTATGCTGGAGTTACCGCGGACCACTGGCGTAACAATGGAGGCCGGCAATGTAGGGACATAATAGCGTTCTGTGGAATTTATATTGGGGTTTTTAATCGGTATGGAGGCAAAATTTTGCGATAAAATATCGTTATGGGTAAATCTATGGATGCTATTATGCGGGCGTCCCAGTAGTATTTTGTCCTGCCTCCCTAGAGCAGGAATTCCGCTGGAACGGATTAACGGCATTTCAGTTAATTTAAATGAGGAAAATTGATTTGATAAACGAGCAAATTGAGTTACGAGCTAGATCACAGAATGTTATTAACTCGCCAAGAAGAATCCACTGTATAGAAAATTTAATAAAAGTGAATATTATAATTTAAAAAATTATTCAGTATGTTTTTACAAACTTCTGTATTTTCAGTCAACCATTCTCCATTCTGAATATACAAAATACTGTACCTATTGAGAGTTCTGGACAATATTACTTTATTTATTCAAGATAATGCAGCATTTATATTCTAAAGAAAAGTGGAACAGTATACTACAGTATTTGGTACAGCATACTTTGCACCCATTTTCCAAATTTATCACACAATCTGGAAAAGAAATCTTGGAATAAAGGTTTTCTTTTATCCACAATGAGCCACAATAGATTTTAATATTAAAGTGTTTTTTATTTTCACTAATTAATTTAAAATTTCTAAATACTACTGTATTAAATACAGTAATGAACTGCTTACCGTCTCAGGAATTCATCATAAGCATCTCTCCTAATAGTATGCGTTGTCACCAAATTATGTTGAGCCAGAAGCCATCGAATATCATCCGTCAGGGCCCCATAGAGGCACCGCTCACCATCAAAAGTATTGGCTTCACATCGGGCACCAGCACCAATCAGATACTCCACTATTTGCTTGTGCCCACATAAACACGCATAATACCTGAAGGAATATTTCATGATTATGAACTTTAAGTGAACAGAGCAAACAAGTTACTAAAAGATGACCAATCTAAAAAAAAAATTACAAACCAAAAAACCTAATAAAGTGAATGGAACATAAGCTAACAATACAGTATTTTACTCTGAACAACGTTATTTTATATGAAGCAGCATTTTAGTTATTGCAATAAGATAGCACTGAAGTTACAGCCCTGAAAATGGCGCTGTATGAAAAAAAAAAGTGAAGCAGATTGAAGAACTTATGGAAAAAATAGGGTTACATTTCAAAGACTCCTATAAATGCCAAAGAATTTTTTAAAAATTTCTTATTCCGTAAAAACCGATGACGTTTTTGACACCTTGCAGGCGGATATTGTTGTTTATTGAGCTAGAAACGTATATCATGGACTCAAATCTGAAATAAGAACTTAGTGACAAAATAAATTAACTTATTGAGGCCTAGGGAAGCAGGTGTTTGATGCAGCATACCATCCATTCTATCCAGAGAACTGGGCAAGGTGTTCAGTTTAGAGAAAACAGAGAAGGCTAATATGCCTGTAAGGCTAATATGCCTGTAAGTCTGAGTCATCAGTAAATGAGTACATCACAAAAATGAGTACATCTGCAAAAAGGAAGTAAAAACAAAAAGTTTACCCTAGCTTCAACTCTTTGTTTCTCCTAACTGAAGATGTCTGTTTCTCCTCACTGAAGCTGTAGCAGTGTTGGAGATGGTTATGTACCTCATGTGAGCACTAGACAGCTGTGGTTTATCTGTTATCTGATGCCAGTCAAACTTTATTTCCACATAATACGTACATCATTTGCACAAAATCAGATGACATTACAATAACACGGAAAGCTCTAAATTGTGGCAGGGAAGACTTTTATCCTGCCTAAAATGCTTTGTCCTTTTGCTTGTTGATAGAGAAGTTCTTTGGAAGCAAACATCTGACTGACCATCAGCTGATGGCTGTTGGTCAGTCACCTGTTGAGGTTCAGAGGGCCATTACAGAATATGCCATACTGAGACAGAGTCAGTAACCAGCTTTTCCCAAGCTAGTTAAATCTGAATAGAAAAGTTTCCATGCCTGAGCCATCTTTTTTTAAATTTTTATGGGATCATAATCAAGTTTTACAGTGTCCTATTTAAATTTATACCACAATTTCTCAACTGTGTTATCATAAAAACATGCTGTTTAAATGTGTTCAACTGGAAGGTCTACTGTACCATAATATATAATGTTAAGTACCATCACTCAAAATGTTATTAATACTGTATGAAAAACTAATCTTACAGAAAATAATTTAAATGTATTTTGAAATTAAATGTAAACAGTAGGTTGGTAGACAGCAACCGCCCAGGGAGGTACTACCGTCCTGCCAAGTGAGTGTAAAACGAAATCCTGTAATTGTTTTACATGATGGTAGGATTGCTGGTGTCCTTTTTTCTGTTTCACAAACATGCAAGATTTCAGGTACGTCTTGCTACTTCTACTTACACTTAGGTCACACTACACATACATGTGCAAGCATATATATATACATACCCCTCTGGGTTTTCTTCTATTTTCTTTCTAGTTCTTGTTCTTGTCTATTTCCTATTATCTCCATGGGGAAGTGGATCAGAATTCTTCCTCCGTAAGCAATGCGTGTTGTAAGAGTCGACTAAAATGCCAGGAGCAAGGTGCTAGTAACCCCTTCTCCTGTATATATTACTAAATGTAAAAGGAGAAACTTTTGTTTTTCCTTTTGGGCCACCCCACCTCGGTGGGATATGGCCGGTGTGTTGAAAGAAAGAAGTTATGCAAAAATTAAACGTTATATACAGTAGGACCTCTAGTCACAACCATAATTCGTTCCAAAACTCTGGTCACGACCTAATTTGGTCATGACCCAAACTTAATTTCCCCATTGGATTGTATGTAAATACAATTAATCCATTCCAGACCCCTACAAACTGTATGTAAATATTGTTTTATTAAGATTTTTAAGCACAAAAAAAAAGTTAATTATACCATAAAATGGACAGTGTAATAATAAACTAAATGTAAAAACTTTGAATGATACTGAGAAAACCTTGAACAACAGGGAAAACTAACTCTGCATGAGTCCGTTCTAGACCCCTATGAACCGTTCGCTGTAAACATTTTTTTTTTTAAGAGTTTTAAGGGATGTCTAATGGCTGATTTCAGATTTCTTTCATTTTTTGGTGTACATTAAGAAGCATCTTTCCATCATAAACTGCCCAAGTTTCAATAAGACAGCCCAACAAACAACTGAGAAAAAAATATTTACCAACAGAGAAAAAAACATACCATAAACAACCAAAACAAAATGAATTCAAAAACACATGAAATACAACACAAGGAGTTCACAGTGAATGAACGCATATCTGACCAAGACCGACTACAAGGTGAGGGTCTTTGTTAGGTGTACACAAACAACAGGAAGTGGGGAAAATTGGCGTATACAAAAAAAATGGCGCAGAATGTGAAAATTGGTGCAGCTGTGTTTGTTCAGCACCCGATTGTGTGTTCGTGATCAGATGCAAAATTTTGGCATATTTTTTGGTCTTGAACTGATTTGTTCATGTTCAGAAGTGTTTGTGACCAGAGGTTCCACTGTAAACAAAAAAAAATAATATAATAATATGTAAAGCAATATGGATATAAACATTAGCAAGTAAATTCATTACAAATGAAAACTTTACACTAATTTGGTTTTCAGTTAATGCAATCCCTGCTGTCAAATACTGTCATTTTCACTTACCATACACTGGTTGCAATTAAAATCTGATTATGGCTTTTTTCTTTTAACTTCTAAATAAGAACAGTGATAGTACATACAATTTCCTAAAACAAAAAAATGAACAAATCATATCTTAATAAATATGTGTATTCCAATTATTGCATTAGCTCTTAAATCTTGTGAATAAATTGAGAACCGAAAACTTAACTATAAGTACAGTTGTAACACATTAAAACATACAACTTACAGAGGTGTGCTGTCCCATTTGTCTCGTATGTTGACATCAATGTCACGTTGTTCAACCAGTAGCCTGAAAGATCCATTTTATACACTACAGTATACCAAAATTATCTTTAGTTAGTCGAGCCCTATTAGTTAAGTTTATGCTTTTAACCAATATTATTCTGCAGGTCTAATAATTCACTTCTTTACAGACTTATATAAGCTATGCTTATCCTGCATTATGCAATTATTCATCTGTGTCACTTCTACGTATAGAAATCAATAACAGGAAACCATCGCAAATGAATCATCACACATCAAAAGACAGTTATCATAATTGCACCAAACTCTAGCTTTTAATAAAACAAAATGATTCTATTCAAATCCTTTCTGCTCATTCTGTATGATCCTTATGAATTTAGCACTTAAATTAATTGCTGTATATTATTATTATTATTATTATTATTATTATTATTATTATTATTATTCTGCTCATGCTACATCTTTAGTACCCTCAACTGTAATGTGCCCCTCTTCAACCTTTGTCAATGACTGAATTCCCCCAAAAAGACAGAAAATCTCTAGCAAGGAAACAAAGGAACTTGTGTTTTATGGTCCAATCAGAATGCTGAGCCAGCAAATAATGATAGCAAGTGTCTCAACAAAATGATGAGGGGGTAAATGTGCCATTGATGCCCAGGTCAGAGAAAGGCACAGACACGCCACCACGGTCAGTGCCAAAGACCCACTCACACGGTGGTGGCGGCAGATACAGATTTAGCAATATATAATAAGTGTGAGCAAGTAAGCGATCAAGTTTTATTTTGTCCTCAGACATAATATGAAAATTTTACAATAATTTTGTTAGTAAATTATTGAGAATTTAACCACTGGGAAACCCAATGGTCAGTGCTACCGTCACTAGTTAAGCAAGTGGTGGTGACAGTGGTAGTGGCAAGTGGAAGGGTAAGTGGTGGCAGGTAGGTTGAAGGGTAAATGGTGGAAGGGCAAGAGGGAATAATGGTGGAGGCAAGTGGATGGAAGAGAAAGGGATGATGGTAGTGGTAGGTTTTGGGAGAGGTTAATGGGAGTAGCAATGGTGGTTGAGATGTTAGGTTTGTGGTGATGGTGGTTTTAATGGTAGGTGGTAGTGATGGTGGTTGGAATGGTAGGTGGAAGTAGTGATAGTGATTGGAATGGCAGGTGGGAGCAGTGATAGTGGTTGGAATGGCAGGTGGTAGTGATGGTGGTTGGAATGGTAGGTGGAAGTAGTGATAGTGGTTGGAAGGGCAGGTGGAAGTAGTGATAGTGGTTGGAATGGCAGGTGGTAGTGATGGTGGTTGGAATGGTAGGTGGAAGTAGTGATAGTGGTTGGAATGGCAGGTGGAAGTAGTGATAGTGGTTGGAATGGCAGGTGGTAGTGATGGTGGTTGGAATGGTAGGTGGAAGTAGTGAAAGTGGTTGGAATGGCAGGTGGTAGTGGTGGTGGTTGGAATGGTAGGTGGAAGTGGTGATAGTGGTTGGAATGGCAGGTGGGAGCAGTGATAGTGGTTGGAATGGCAGGCAGGAGTAGTGATAGTGGTTGGAATGGCAGGTGGGAGTAGTGATAGTGGTTGGAATGGCAGGTGGGAGCAGTGACAGTGGTTGGAATGGCAGGTGGTAGTGATGGTGGTTGGAATGGTAGGTGGTAGTGATGGTGGTTGGAATGGTAGGCAGAAGTAGTGATAGTGGTTGGAATGGCAGGTGGTAGTGATGGTGGTTGGAATGGTAGGTGGAAGTAGTGATAGTGGTTGGAATGGCAGGTGGTAGTGATGGTGGTTGGAATGGCAGGTGGTAGCGATGGTGGTTGGAATGGTAGGTGGAAGTAGTGATAGTGGGTGGAATGGAGGTGGAAGTAGTGATAGTGGTTGGAATGGCAGGTGGGAGCAGTGACAGTGGTTGGAATGGCAGGTGGGAGCAGTGACAGTGGTTGGAATGGCAGGTGGTAGTGATGGTGGTTGGAATGGCAGGTGGTAGTGATGGTGGTTGGAATGGTAGGTGGTAGTGATGGTGGTTGGAATGGCAGGTGGTAGTGATGGTGGTTGGAATGGCAGGTGGAAGTAGTGACAGTGGTTGGAATGGCAGGTGGTAGTGATGGTGGTTGGAATGGCAGGTGGAAGTAGTGACAGTGGTTGGAATGGCAGGTGGTAGTGATGGTGGTTGGAATGGTAGGTGGAAGTAGTGAGTGGTTGGAATGGCAGGTGGGAGTAGTGATAGTGGTTGGAATGGCAGGTGGGAGTAGTGATAGTGGTTGGAATGGCAGGTGGGAGTAGTGATAGTGGTTGGAATGGCGGTTGGGATGTAAGGTTAGTGGTGATGGTGGTTGGAATGGCAGGTGAGAGTAATGATTGTGGTAGTGGTGGTAGTAAATGTTAGTGGTGGCAGGTGGTTGGAAGATGTGAGGTTATCTAGGCTGTGGCATACCTTCACCTCCCTTACCTGACCTCTTCAATGTCTCCCTTTTTGCACTGTCGGAATAATTCCAGGGCGTCCATGTTGAAGCTGTGATGGAGACAGTGTTCACTATCAGTTAATTCTTGTACAGTAACAAAATAATTGTTGTTGTTGTTGTTGGACTGAAGGGTAGTTACGGTCCTAAGGCCAACCTGGACGAAGGGTTGTAACGTCCCTAGGCTCGTCTGAGTTAAAGACCTACGACGTCCCTAGGCTCGTCTGAGTTAAAGGCCTACGACGTCCCTAGGCTCGTCTGAGTTAAAGGCCTACGACGTCCCTAGGCTCATCTGAGTTAAAGGCCTACGATGTCCCTAGGCTCGTCTGAGTTAAAGGCCTACGACGTCCCTAGGCTCGTCTGAGTTAAAGGCCTACGACGTCCCTAGGCTCGTCTGAGTTAAAGGCCTACGACGTCCCTAGGCTCGTCTGAGTTAAAGGCCTACGACGTCCTAGGCTCGTCTGAGTTAAAGGCCTACGACGTCCCTAGGCTGTCTGAGTTAAAGGCTACGACGTCCCTAGGCTCGTCTGAGTTAAAGGCCTACGACGTCCCTAGGCTCGTCTGAGTTAAAGGCCTACGACGTCCCTAGGCTCTTCTGGTCATAATGATGGTGTACAATATTGACAAGTTAATGAATAAGACTCGTGCAATGAAATTTTAGTAAATACACTGCCGAAGCAAGTACAATAATGATGGATGTTCCTGTGATAATGAGATAATGTTTTGAAATTATATATCCATATTATATTGTATATATTAGCTATATAAGAAAATGTAGTATACGAAATGACTATATTTCCTATAATGTAACTATGCCCATTGGGGTTCAATACCCATGGTAACCTGTTTTTATGTTTTGCGCTACTGTTGGCGGGATGAACATAAAGCGAAGATGTATTTCGGATCACTCAGGATACACTTGTCCTGTTTCTTGACAAACCTTACCTAACCTAAGTGATCCGAGGAAGGTATCCCCGTGTTGCACAACCCCAGTCCACAGTGTCTCAGTGCACGCCACTGGAACTGTGCAGAGTGCGGCGGAAGTGGATAGTTAGTTAGTTAGTTTAATATGTTTATTATGCACCCCATACCCATCCTGTGGGCGGTAGTCAAAAGATTACAGAGGTACATAATTGGATAATGCGGTTAAATATTAGCTTGGAATATTTTAAGGGAATCAGATGAATCATTCACTAGTAATCTTAAGGAAACTGATATCCAAATTTCTTTAATATAAATGGTGAATTATGATATTACACAACCTAAATATAATCCAGACCTTTCAAAGAGAGCAAAAAGAACAGTATCCAAAAATACATGTGCACATTAAGCTTGAAGTCGTTCAAGAGTTTGAAGCCGATCAGAAAAGACATTCCCAGCAGTTAATTTGATTTAATCGATTCCAGTGTTTTTAACTATTTCAGTAAAATTTCAAATTTGCACATACATGTACTCGGACTAAACTAATGGGTTATCATACTTAAAATAAAACACATTATTAATAATATTTTGAAGCTAATCGGAATATTCTTTAGCTATTGAATAAAAAGTTAATATAACTGTTTATTCAATAAAATCGGTAAACTGTGACTTTTGTCATTCAATGACAACGTGAGCTTTGTGTTCAGGACACCATACCAGTGGTTAAAATTTGAACCCTATCAGATGAGTCATTCTCTAGTTATGTCACGGATTCGAACGATTCCATTTTTTTTTATTATTCTACTACATCAACAAATTTTCCTGCACGAAAACAAATATTAATAGGTACTGTCCTGACCCTAAGATGCAGCAGCTATTAAATGTTGAAGCCATTCAGAAGAGGTAAATTGAAAATTATCTAACGTGGTTTAACAGGAAATTTTCACACTATTTTACATCTATACACTTGAATTTCACTCTCCGTCATCGATTTTTTTTTGTCTTATGGAACGTGTGAAGCTTCGCCACTAAGGATTTTGTAAGTTATCAGAGCCATTCCAAAATGCTGAGAATAGGTTCAATAACTTTGGACCCCCGAAACTCTCTCCAGGTAAACTCCAGGTAATACGGCATATGAATATACCAAGTGTTCCAAGAATTTAGTCCTCATTACCGTACATGTGTTGAAAATTTGAAGGTGAGTTGATAAGGCGTTCTTGAGTTATGAGCGAAATAAAATCGAAAAGTTGGAGGAAGGAAGAAAAAAATTAGGCAACTTCTTAAAAGTCTCGACTCGGGAATACCTAAACGCTAGCCATTCAGGCGACACAATTAAAGTAACATATGTGCAACACTTGAGTCTCATCCCGAAACTTTTCTCTTATATAATAGTAAAATTCTTCACTCGATCATGGAGTTGGACACCTCTCACGGATAAAAATAGGAGTGACCATCTGAAACCTATTTCTTCAAGGCTGATAAGCTGAGAACATCAACTTCATCTCTCATCTGTTTCTGCTGTCAGAAGTTTCAGTCGCCTCTGTATGCAACTGAAGAAGCCTACTGTGTAGACAAAACGTGTTGCACAGGCTCGTCCAAGAGGAAGGGTTTTTGACAATAGTATAACAAATAAATGTTATCGGAAAGGGAAGGGAAGAGGAGGTGTTGAGAAACCGGTTCCACCCCTAGGTCAGTTGATGTTGTGGCTGTGGGTGGGTGGTGGTGGCTGGACCAGTGGTGACAGTAGTGCTATAAAGTGAAGGTGCTGCCGTACGTTCTAAGGGTTGCTTACTGTGTCTGAGACTAGCAAACGTATACAGTTTTAGTTTAATATCTTTATTATGCACCCCATACCCATCTTGTGGGCGGTAGTCAAAAGATTACGAAGGTACATAAAGGGTCCAGGGACTGGACCCCAAGACGTATGCGTATACATACACCCTTCTCCAGCACCCGTCAACTTCCATCACTGTTTGTGTGCCTTGCACAGTAACTGTGTTCGCCTCTTCCGTTTATGTACCTTCCACAGTGGCTGTGTCCGCCCGACCTGTTTACGTATCTTCTAGAGGTCGTGTTCGCCGTCATATTTGTGTATCTTCCACAGTGGTCGTGTTCGCAGGTCATGTCTGTGTAAGTTTCCACTGTGGTCGTCTTCGGCCGTCATGTTTGTGTACAGTGGTCGTGTTTGCCCTTTCTGTTCGCGTAAATTCTAAAATGGCAATTGCTCTCCCCTTTCCTGATGCATGACTGTAGTTACAAAATATACATCTCGTTGCTGCAGCACTGAGATAAGGTGGGTAGAGTTCACTGAGAAATTTTGCAAGAATTTTCCTAGCCAATAAAGGCGATAAAAATGAAACGGTAAATAATCATAAACAACGAAAACACACGAATGTTTATAGAGAGCAGAGTGCTATATCAATATAATGTGTACCGTAGAAAATTAATCAGAGGCCTGCTACACCGATCAGAGTCGTCAGTATTAATGTAGATGTTGTAATATGAGCGAGAAGAGTTGGGTTTGAGTAAGACCTGCCTAGCATCGGTTATTATACTTTATTATAATAATTGAATACTATACTGACTGTACTTCGTTATCTACATGTAGGTGCTTTTTTTATACCGTTATTAAAATGTTAGTGGCGCAGCCACAGGAAGGGGGACTACAAGTATTTGCATCTGAGGGCTAAAAGCCCTCAGATACAACTACTTTTTTCTTATATTTTCAATTAATGGTTAATTTTCACTGTATTCCAGTGACCAGGAAAGCACGATGGTTTAAGATATTGTCCATACCCACTGAAAAAATATGATTTCAAAGCCCCCAGATTAAAATCCTGGCTGCACCACTGTACCTCACACCTGCTACCATCTCCATGCTATTATAGAAGGAAGTTGTCTGAATGCAATGCTTCTCTTTGTGTACTACAGCCAGAAGATTTAGTGTCTCTTCTCTAAGACGTAAAATTGCGTCTTTTGTCAATATTATTTCTTCTGTAGCGTGATAAACACAAAGGACCTTACTGAAATACTGACACAATGACCTTAAATTTTAATAGAGTTGACCTACAGTTCCTGGGCCCGTTGAAGGTTAAATTTAAGTTCCAGTAAACATTTTGACATTGATTCTTTTTATCCGGCTCGAAATTTAGCTTTGTTTGAAGTAACTTACTTTTAACTCCTGTAAAGGGTGTTGAGCTACAGTTCCTGGCCCCACAGCTCCTCTATGTAGCTGTTTTGAAGACAATAAGCTATAGTTTCTGGATGTGACTACTTATTAGGATGTTGAGCTCTACCTCTATGGCCTCCGGACCGTGCTGCAGTTGAGTTCCAGCTCCAGGGTCTACTTACCTCTTTCATCATTTGCAACCCTCACGCTCACACTAGTTAGCAACTTTACAACTAATAGAGAGCAGTAGAAGTTTCGCTTCTTTGGACTGCTTGCAGAGGCAAAGGCAATGTTCGCGGCTTTCACTGAGACCCACATAAAGGATCACTTGGACAACGAAATATGGATCCCAGGTTACAACCTATACAGATGTGACAGAGTGAACAGGCAAAAGGGGGGGTTGGCCTGTACATTGCAGAGTCACTTGTTTGCACAGAACTGCTTAATGCCTCAAATAATGTAGTGGAAGTTTTAGCAGTAAAGGTCGAGAACCAAAACCTAGTCATTGTGGTAGTCTACAAGCCTCCGGATGCAACATCCCAGCAATTCCAGGAACAGCTGTTAAAAATTGACCACTGTCTGGAAAATCTTCCAGCTCCTGCACCCAACATCTTGCTCCTGGGGGATTTCAACTTAAGGCACCTAAAATGGAGGAATATAGCAAATAATATTGTTGCAGTAATAACACCAGGAGGCAGCTCTGATGAAAACTCACACTCACACGAGCTTTTAAATCTCTGCACAAAATTCAATTTAAACCAGCAAATAATAGAGCCTACTAGACTGGAGAATACACTAGACTCATCTTCACTAACAATGATGATCTGATAAGAAATGTCACCATATCAAAAACAATATACTCAGATCACAACATAATTGAGGTTCAGACATGTATGCGTGGAGCCCCAGACCGACATAATGAGACTAGTCACGAGGGAGCATTCACCAAATTCAACTTCGATAACAAAAACATAAAGTGGGACCAAGTAAACCAATTCCTAACCGATATAAGCTGGGAAGATATACTAAGCAACACAGACCCCAACTTATGCCTAGAACAGATTAACTCGGTGGCACTCGATGTTTGCACAAGGCTTATTCCTCTAAGAAAAAGGAGAGTAGATGTAAAATAGAGACAGGCGCTCCCTTTACAGGCGACGGAAAAGAATAACAGAGCGGCTAAAAGTGGTCAATATAT